ATATAGAGTACATATATTGCGTAAGTATACAGGGTCCTCTAAGTTTTTAATATAATTTGAATAAATAAGTAATTGGAAACAAGCTCATTAAACACCTGATAATAGGCAGTAACCGTCACCTATGCTCATGAATAGAATGTCCATCACGTTTTCATATAACACCCGTGATACTACTCATGCGTTGATATTCCAGAGGACTACTTAAGTCATGACTGTTATCCTGTAATTTCACTGCCTAATCAGTATCTACAATTTACAACCAAACATTACGAAGCAAGCTGAGTTGACGGCTGAAATAGGTGAGACTGAGGTAAACACCCAGACGACATTTTACCTCTGATATACTGTACCCTCTGACCCCCCGGCAAATTGAAATGGGGATCGAAATTGCGACGGCCGAGGAGGTTCGGACCCTAGCGGGCTCCGCTAGATCAGACTAAAGTCGTATCCGTCGGGCGGGAGTTGGCCTTCAGCCACTCTATAAATCCTTCTTGACGACCTCGGTGGTCTAGCGGTCTAACACACCGCTTTACGTCCGATGGTCGCGGGTTCGATTCCTCGCACGGCACAAACATTTGTATTCATGAGTATGATTGTTTGTGTCGGTCTGGGTGTTTTCTATGTATATTAAGTATGTATTTACGAAAAAAAAATATCTATGTATTTGTATCAGTTATCTAGTACCCATAACACAAGCTTTAGCTAGCTTAACTTGGGTCTAGATGGTGCTGTGTGAATTGTCCTGAGATTATTATTATTATAGATTATTATTATTCTTTTGGTTGGAGTGTCATCTGCACTCACGTATCATCATCACATATCGTGAGGTGAAGCTGTAAAGGCCAGTTGCGACCAACAGCATTAAAGTAGTTCGAATAGAGATACGGTTTACGAACCAAATTTCTACCGACTTCGAAAAGGATAATTTTCACATTCCTGTTTTTTAATAGTATCTTTTTTCGGATTTGGAGTCAAATCAAATCAAATCAAATCAGAAATTATTTATTCATATAGGAAAGTTTAGAACGTAAAAGGTTTTGTATTACATTTTTTCCTATCGTACAGTTCGATATACAGATTCAATTGAGAAGAACCGACAAGAAACTCATTTTTTTTTTAAGAAACTACTTTATTTACATTTTTTTCATACTACGGTGGTTGCAATCAAGCATACGGCCCATCTGATGGTAAATGGTTACCGTAGCCTATGAACGCCTGTAACACCAGCAGTATCACGTGCGCGTTGCCGTTTTACACATATCTATGTAAGTAAATTATATAGATAGTTGTACATTACATGAAAATCTCGTGCATGAACAACCACTGTCACGCACGTTCGTCATTCAAGTAACCGTTTAGTGAGTAAATATGATTTACAGATGTTTTGAATTTATTTAAAGGTAATTCCAATATATCCTTTGGTATGTTATTATAAATTTCATTTCTGGGAAATTTAAAGTCCAGAAACTTAAAAAAAAAACTACTGTATATACCTACTATAAAATAATGTATACACAAAACACACAAACAAAACAGTTTTTCAAAGCGTTCTAACCGAGTTAATTATTTAACAAAACCCGTTCAAGGTTGCCAGTATACAAAAGGTTGTCGCATGCCAGTTGCGTAAATGACATTGTCCAACACAGACATACATCCATAGATATAATCTTTTTTTTATATAGGTACCTATATAAAAAGTTCGTCCCGATTTCACACGAAATCTTTGAATATCGAAATAATCAAAGATTTGTAATGCATCTTACATGGAATATATCGGTATGATACGACACGATGAATTTATGAAGATTGAGGGAAAAATAGAAGGGAATAGGGAGAACATTGGAGCCGTGTTGTACCAACATTTAAAAGCACGATGGAAGATCGTGGAAAGTGGCAAGAGTTCCACCGACAAGAGCGTCCGTATTAATTTATGAATTAATGAATGAATAGCATCTATGATTAAGTTGTTTCTGACTCATGTGCGTATATCTGCAAAATATTATATACAAATTAAAACTATAATTATTATATTATACCTATATAAAATCAAATTCAAAAATCATTTAAATTCAAATTAAAAAATAAAAAATCATTTAAAAAATAAGCAAAAATGTCCTATATTAAATAGGACATTTTAACTGCTTACGAACGTAATTTTTTTTGTATTATATTTTTCCGTACCGTCTAGTTCAGTATACAGATTCAATTGAGAAGAACTGGCACGAAACTCAATTAAATTAAAATTAAACCAGTTATTACCCACTCCAATACCTATGCCACTGTTTTGGGTTGACTGGAAGATATCTCTTCTAGGGATAAGTCTACCTTTGCTTTAGTTTCTTTAGAAATTTCTTTATTTGTGCAATAAACAATGATATAAATGTCTAAATAAAATGTAATGGCGTATCTAGTAAGACTTTATGCGGTTGTTTCGTTCTTGTGACGACACCTATGCAAACAGTCGGCCAACAAAACAGATTCACAGTCGCTAATACTCAATGGCATTACAATTGCAGGGTAACAATCATTTTAGCAGTTTATTGGTAATACTACATAGGGATACTACACAGGTATCACTCAAGATGTATTTGTATTTCTATACGTTACCTATTTTTTATGTATTTAAAATGAATAGAAAACAATCGATTGAAAATATGTTCTTTAATTATTTTTAAATTGCTACTCGCCCCGACTTTGCACGGGTGTACATATATTATACATATAAACCTTCCTCTTGAATCACTCTATCTGTTAAAAAAAACAGCTTCAAACTCCGTAGCGTAGTTTTAAAGATAAGCATATATAGGGATGGACAGACAGCGACAGCGACTTTGTTTTATACTATGTGATGATTACAATTATTTTATGGCTTTTACACAGAAATATGTGCTAAAACTAGAAGATCGCGGAAAGTGGCAAGAGCTCCACAGACAAGAGCGTAGCTCTTAATGAATGAATGAATGGACAATAATTTTATGGCTTTTATACAAAAAAAAAGTAACTAATAGTTTACTTTTCTGATGACGCTACGCTCGATAACGCTAAAAAGGAAGTAGAGAGGAATTAGCGTGTCGCCATCTTTACGCAACTTACATTAGTATTTTAATGTGGTTTGGTGCTGCTTGTGGGGATCGGTCTGTTCAAGTTATGAATTAGACTATGTATAAACTATCATATGCTGGTAATCACTCTATATAAAAAATAAAAATGTATAATATAAGAATTTAAATTGAAAATAAAATATTATTTTGAAAAACATCCTTTTTATAATATAACAGAATATATGACTCAAAATGTAATTATATAATTATACCGTAATCATGATTTTTAAACATTATTATGACGTATTATATTTGTTTATACCGTGTATTGTGTACGTAGTTAATTTATTTTATTTAATAATATAATTGTAATCGAATTTAAATTTTATAAATATCATTATTGTATATTATGACTTGCCATATATGTAAAGATGTTTTTTACATTGGTCAATAAATGAAACTAAACTAAACTAAACTATTCTCCCAAATTTGAAATTAAAAAATTAATCTGTATTATTGTAAACATGTACAACATTTATTTGAAAAGACTACGAGCTGAGTTTCTCATCAGTTCTTTTCATCTCGAAATCATTCCGAACTGACGGTAGATTAGACATATCATAAGAGTCTGTAATAGACCTACATGAATAAAGACATTTTGAATTTGAATTTTTGATATTGGCTGTATTTACAATATTAGTAGGAATTTAGGGCACTGTTACTAGGTTTTTTTTAATCTTGTTATAAGTTTTTGATATATGAGTATCGGTCAAAAGACTGATATAGGTTAGAGAGTTAGTTATTTTGTGTATGTTTATGTATATGTTTTTCTCTTCCATTCATCCCTGTTCGCAGTCATCTCGTTATTTACTCCCTTTCTTACCATATCATCTTTCACACAGTCTATCCATCTCTTTTTCAGCCTTCCCCTGGCCATATAATCATCTACATTGATATATAACTTTATTTAAATATTATCTATATTTAAGTAAATAAATATACCCCTGGACAATTAACACAGCGCCATCTAGTCCAACGGTGAGCAGAGCTTATGTTATGGGTACTAGACAACTGATATGAATACTTTGATATATTTTTTATTGAAAATATATATATATTAAATAAAATAATGTAAATCCATTACCTAATGAAATTGACTTCCGGAAAATAACATCTATTTCGATAATATATAAGTATACAAACTTTTTTCGTCGGTCAGATTTGAACTGACGACCCCTTGGACGTAATTCCGGGTAGTAAACCACTAAGTAACGACGGTATAGTATTATTGGTAACACTCGTAATGCAGAGATGTTAGTTTTAGACATTATCCCGAGAACATCACTGTATCAAAATAATAGCAGTGCTATGTTTATTAACATTTATAATAAAGTTCCTGATACTATCAAACAATGTAATAATAATAATAAGGCATTTTAGGGCAACGTTACAGGAGTGGCTGATTGGAAATAACTTCTACAGTATAAGGCATTATTTGACATACGAACTCTGACTTCATGTAATTATAGTTTTAATAATATTGATTGACGTTAGTGGAATACTGTGACATTTATTACTTTATTGTGGTACCTATTATAATGTTTTAATGAAATGTAATGACATATTGTAATTATGATATCATTTTCAATATTTGCACACCTCTACTGGGTGCTGCATGTCGTGTACTTATATTATATTGTAAGATCAAAATTACCATGTAGCAGGCAAATAAATAAATTATTATTATTATTATTATTTTTATATATATATTATATATCTCCCATTGATGGGGTAATAGACTGATCATTGCGGGTAAAAATCACCAAACAATGACAGTATAAATTATGAATGATGAGGATGGATAATTTTTAAGTGGAAGACAAAAATTTGCGGACTATTTATTCTACAAGTGTTTAATATTACAGTATTATTATTATTACTATTATTATTATTGGTTACCTTTAAGATGTTCTGACGTGTCGGCCCTCATTATATCCGTGAGATAATGTTCTAACGAGCGCATGTTGTCCAGACCACTTCTCTCCTGCAACAAACAAGAAGTACATTAATAAATTATGTTTTGACCATCATTACATAGTATAAAACAAAGTCGCGGTCGCTATCTGTCCGTCCCTATGTATGCTTAAATCTTTAAAACTACGCAACGGATTTTGAAGCGGATTTTTAGTAGATAGAGTGATTCAAGAGGAAGGTTTATATGTATAATACATGTACATCGGGTTATGTCGGGGCGAGTAGCTAGTTTTGATATATAACTAACGAGACCAGAGATCCCGTTCTAAATGGGGCTCGCAAATAAATAGGGGCACTATTTATTTGCGAGTCCCGGTGTCAACAAAATGAACCTTGGGACGCAAAATTGTTCCGTTTTCGGAAACTCCACGAAAATTTGTGCAGTCGAGCGGATCGGTTGTGGTGTAGATTATTGTTGATAATTAAATAAATAAATAAGCTTTTATTCTGCACTTTTCAATATATTTTTGTTACACATCATGTTAGTGTAATTATTCCACTCTATAATACATATATTTATTTTTAACATTATTAATAATTGTGCAATTGTTTAGTTTCCTATGTTTTTTTTTTGTATTTTTATTCATTATTAATTATTTTATATCCTGCAGTACGGAGTGCCTTATGGCAAAGGCCTCTTCTAATTTCTTCCAGTGAAACTGAATAAATCTCTCTGAATCTGAAATCAATGTTTCAAATCATATAATTCATCAACTTTGACATTAAAGTAAGAAAATGCGAGACCTTCTCGCTAAGTACCCAGTTTAAGATGACGCCCCATCGGTAGACAAATAATAGTACTTAGGGTTCATTATAACTGGTCATTACAACCAATTTAACATGATCCCTAAGAATATTATGATATGATTTTTTTATTAAGATATTTGATGTTTCAATGTATAAATAAAAAAATATAACGTTTTTAATAATCATAACAATCTTAGAACAATTCACACAGCGCCATCTAGACCCAAGCTAGCTAAAGCTTGTGTTATGGGTACTAGGTAACTGATATAAATACATAGTTATTTTTTTTTCGTAAATACATATTATAAATAAAAAACACCCAGATCGAAACAAACAATCATACTCATGAATACAAATGTTTGTGCCGTGCGAGGTATCGAACCCGCGACCATTGGAAGTAAGGCGGTGTGCTAAACCACTAAACCACTGAGGCTGTCAATGATTCTCTCACATATACAAATCTACACTATCAGTGAATAATACTGGCAACATAAGCACCGAAGCCGAGGTAAAGTGTTGGTTATAAAAATCAAGGTATATTAGTATTAAGTAAATGTACCGGTGTTTCCATCATCGGAGAGTAAGTCAGGAGCATTAATTAATACAGTTTTATTTTGTACTACTTTGCTTGTTTGTCATGTTGCTTATTTTTTGAAGCTAAAAACAGATTAATCAAGTAGCCATGACACAATCTATTTATTTTTCAAATTTCATCAAGATCTGTTCAGCCATTTAGAAGTGACAAGGTAACAGATATACAGACAAAGTTTCGAATTTAATATTAGTAGGGATTAATGAGATTCTAACAAAAATCATATATTTTGGTGTCTAAAGTCAGGGTAGTAAACCACTAAAGCATGACACTCGAATTTCAAAGAACTCAAAGAATTTATTTAAAATAATTCAAAGGCTATATACATCGGCGGGTCTTTTAAAACTGGATACTAAGTCCAGTATATGAAGACACGCATTGCGGCAATATCAATATAGATATTACAGCTCTACCAACACTGGTCATTGAATGTATACGGCAAACCCACTGACCCATTTTCTGTTACGCAGTGTGACGTCATTGCGCCATTGCGCTATAACGTAACGGAACGTGCCAAGAGAACAGCAATCTTGCGGCCTTGTAATAAAGTTGAGAGTTGTTTAATTATTTTATTCTTAGACGGCCATGAAAAGATTTCTGCAAAAATTGTCTTCTGGGAGTCAACAATGAGATCGATTTTAGTAGGTTTGGTAGTTTTTTTTATACTACGTTCGTGGCAAACGAGCATTTGGCCCAACTCAACAAACGATATACTAACTAAAGGGTAAGCCAAACAAAAAACCCTTTATATTGATGTTTTACTATTACTAGCAGATCCGGCCAAGCGTGTGGTAAAGGTTCTTGAATAAAATAATATTGCGGGTATAAATTGAGATGTACGCTATCCTGTCTTTCAGGTTGAATCAAATTGCACACAATGTGCAATTTGATTCGCAATCGATAGGGAATTCATCCCCACACGCTGGAACTTAAGTGGTCTCGGACAGTGCAGTTTCAAAGGAGCTTCCTCCCGCGTACACTTAGACTGTGAATGAATTAACTACCTGCCGAGGTTTTCTCGAGAGACTACAGCATGGGGTGTTTCAAGAAGGGTATATTAAGGTTTCTTAAGGGTCGGCAACGCGCATGTGACACCCCTGGTGTTTCAGGCGTCCATAGGCTACGGTAACCATTTACCATCAGATGGGCCGTATACTTGTTTGCCACCTATGTGGTATAAAAAAACCCGATACATGTCCTATTTTTTGGAGTGTCCTGAGAAGTCCTGAATAGTTGTTTGGCAGCGTCTTGGGTTTTTATAATATCCGCGCCTCTTAATTCCTGATTTTCAACAGTATAATTTTATCAAATACTTTTTATTAAAAACCTGATTATATTAATTACTTGAATGTTACTACATATTAAAATAACTATTGCAACACTATTACTGCGTTCTGTTTTTTTAAAACTGGATAGTCCTGGTTTTTTAACATTCTTTTGGTGTAAGCTATCCTATCTTTCAAGTTGGATCAAATTGCACACAATGTGCTAACCAAATTTGCAGTCGGTTAGTAAGTTTAGGAGTCCATCGCGGACCAACAACGTGACACATAATTTTTACATATAAAGATTAGAAGTAGATAATAATAATAATAATAAAACACCAAATGCTGATAAAATAAAGCAATATAATAAAAGTAGAACTAGTGGTCGCCCTGTGCTCGAAATTCGACCACAATTAACTTAACATTCAGTGTGACTATAGACAAATAATATTGTAGACAAACAATATTAATCTATTCTCAATTTGACCACAGACTTTAACAAAAGAGTGTATACAGGGTGTCCCAGAACTCACCGTCAAACCGAAACGGGGTGACAGCATTGATTGTAACCATCATGAGAAGGGGAGTAAGGGGAATGTACTCTGTCAGGTTGACCTCCACGCGGTTCCCCCTGGAAACCTTCGTGATAAATTCATGGCGACTTTACCACGATGGGCTAACTGACCTGACCTCATGCTCATCTAGTCATCCTCCACTGGTGCCCCGCCAGCGTAAACCGTTAGCGCAGGCGGGTGCACCATTCCATTATCATTCACAAAAAAACCATCATGAGAAAAATCATAAAAAATCTATCCCATGCAATTTGAAAATTAAAGGCATTTAAGAATTTTTTTAAACTTTGAGCCGTAACCCTAAATAACATTTCTAGAACCATAGTTAAAAATAATGACACAATTGACCCAAGTTTTCTAGAATTAAGACTATTTTCTATTACAATATGGTCGAGCGCAGTGATGGCTGGCTCATCCGTCATACTCGTGAACAAGAGCTGCTTGTAGGGACTGGTCTGCTCTTATCACTACGACTGATTTACTCTTATTTAGTTACTCAACTTGTTCTGTGCTAAATATTTTGACTCTAACGAATAGTTGGTAATTTGTATTCACACATTCCATCTTAAGAATGTAAAGTTACAATTATTTAAAAGAGCAACACGCAAGTTTCTTTTCGTTCTTCTTGTGATGAGCTTTCCGAATGAGCGGTACATTGAAAAAAAGTGATGACTGTTCAAAAGTGCTTCTATGTAAGTTTATTTTCGCCACGTACAACCACATTGTGGAATCACCTTCCAACAATGGTATTTCCAAACCGATACGATATTGAAACCTTCAAGAAAAGAGCTTATTCCTTCTTAAAAGGCCGACAACATGCAATTCCGCTGGTGTTGCGGGTGCTCATGGGCGGTGATAATCACTTACCATCAGGTCAGCCGTAAGTTCGTTCACTACATAAAATTAAAAAAGTTTCAATTGAATAAATGATTTTCTATTCTATTCATTAATAAAATTTTCTACCGTGTGAGGAATCGAACTCGAGAATATCGGAAGAAAAGCTGTTTGCTAAACTGCTAGACCTCCTATGATTGTCTATTTAAGAATATAAAGTTTCTACCATGCGAAGAATCGAACCTGCGACCATCGGAAGTAAGGTGGGGTGCTAAACCGCTAGATCACCGAGTCCGTCTACGAATAAACATGGTAGGTCATTAATTATTCTTGTAACTGTCTTATGAGCAAATAGCGTCAACTTGCGTGTACTATATTCACGATATGTTCCCCAGGGGACGTACAGAGATGAATTATAAATGATTCGGAGAGAAAGGTTGTTTATTATGAAGGGATGAAAATTAACCCTAAAATTACATGGCTTGGGAGTGTATGCTACAGATTAATTAATAAAACGTTATTTAACTTTAAAATACTTAATTTAGTTATGAAAGGCATTGACGACCTCGGTGGTTTAGCGGTTTAGCACGCCGCTTTACTTACGATTGGTCGCGGGTTCATTCCTCGCACGTCACAAACATTTGTACCTATTCATGAGTATGATTTGTATAGGTCTGGGTGTTTTCTATGAATAATATGTATGTATTTACGGAAATAAAATCTATGTATTTGTATCAGTGATCTAGTTATATTAAGTTTTTTTTCTATTCCTATTTGCCGTTGGAAAACATCGTAGTTAATTCCTAATGAGTTTTGTCACGATGTGCTAACTGACCTGACCTCATGTTCATCTTATCATCCTCCACGGGTGCCCCGCCAGCGTATACCGTTAGCGCAGGCGGGTGCATCATTACATTATACTATTAATATTATAAACGCGAAAGTTTGTGAGTATGAATGTTTGTTACTCTGTCACGGAAAAACTGCTGAACAGATTTTG